AACTTCTGGTGGAATAAGGGTGTAGATAGTAAGAAAGTTATTCACTGGAAATATTGGCAGACAATTTCACAACCTAAAGAGAAAGGGGGACTTTGGTTTTAGGACCTAAGGACACTAAACACAACCTTGATTAGCATGCAATTGTGGAGACTACTGACCAACCCTCACTCTCTTGCAAGCAAAGTGCTCAAGGCAAGGTACTTCCCAAAAGTAGGGACGTAACTGGGTTGGGTTGGGTACGGGTTTTGGCAAACCCGAACTCGACTCGCATATAATTTGTCCTACCCAAACCCGACCTGTTACCCGGCTAGTGATCTTCGGGTTCGGGTTGAGTTTTACCCGACGGGTTAGTGGGTTTCCGTCGGGTAAACGGATAATCCGAGTCTTAAATTTAGATTTTATCCGACCCATCTCGTTTCATATGAAAAATAAAATAAAATAATTTCACAATTAATTATAATGTAAGAAATAATTTAGTAACTAATTTTGACAATAAAAAAACCATAAAATAATTATATTATTTTCGGAATAAATAATAAGCTATGATTATTTATCTTGTATAGTCTATTTAATATTATAACATTTAAAATTAAGTATTTACTTTTTTTATTGTACAATTAATAAAAAGTGATAACAAAATTATAAAAAATAAAATAAATTTAACCATTAATCAAAATTATAATTGATAATCTAATTTTTAAAAATAACACATGACTACTTTTATATTTATTATAAGTTAAATATATATATATGATTCAATGGTTGCGGGTAAACGGGTAGGGTAATCTGGTCGGGTAATGGGTTTTCCTACTATACTCGCACCCGACCCGACCCGGGATTCGGGTAGCATAATTCTACCCTAACCTGATACGAAACCCGATCATCTCGGGTTTACTCGACCCAAAAATGCGGGTAACCCGCGGGTAACCCGCGGGTACGGGTTTTATTGACATCCCTACCCCAAAGGAAACTTCTTCAAGGCCCAAGAATCTAGTGCAAACTCTTGAATGTGGAATAATTGGCTTGAGGTCAGGAAAGATTTCGATCAGAAAGTGAGAATCCAAATCCAAAATAGCAAGTCAACTCAAATTTGGGACACTCCTTGGCTCCCAGGAGTTTCCTGCAACATAACTCAAAAGCTCACTCACTCTTCACTATCTCTAGAAAAAGTACAGGATCTCCTAGACTCAACAGGGAGAAGATGGAATGTGGATCTACTGGAAAGCGACTTAATCTCGAATACGTGCAGGCCATTCTGAAAATCAAAGGACTTGAACCCACTAAATCAGACTTTCTAATATGGGAGGATGGATCTAAAGGCACATTTTCAGTCAAGGCTGCATATGCACAAATGATGGAGAAGAAGTTGAGACAATTGGACATCCCAGACACTACAGAAAAATAGAGTTCTAATGAAGATTTTTTTTGTCACTATGTTGTCACTATATCTACTGTCACTATATCTACAATTGTTGTCACTATATCTACAACAATTATAGACAATAGATATAGTGACACTAATTGTAGATATAGGGACAACAATTGTAGATATACTGACAGTAGATATGGTGACAAAAATTTTTTTCACCAGAACTCTATTTTTTTTGTAGTGAGAGTGTAGCTATGACCCTGCTGCTATCATCAAAATGAGGAAGAGAACCTGGAAGCTTAAGAGCAAAGGAAAATTAAACACTTTCTTTGGTCTTTCCTCAACAATATTGTGCCAACCAATACTAATCTCATCAAGAGAGATGCGGAGGTGGACCTCATTTGCAAAAGATGTGGGATGGATGCAGAAACCTTGGAGCACTTACTCTTTCACAGCCCTATAGCTAAAATAGTTTGGAACATTGCCCCAATCAGCTGGGGAGGCCTCAAAGATAAATCACACTATTTTAAAGAATGGTGAATGGGAATTTGCTCCTTGCCTGGCACAGTCATCTCAGAGGATAGGATTCAGCTCTCAGCTTATCTTATTTGGTGGTTGTGGAAAACCAGAAACCTCTGGATTTTCCAAAATATCGAAAGAGAAGGGAAAGTTGTGGTGGATATTGCAATTGTTGAATTATTGGAATGGTGCACTCTATCTTAATTGTTTTCTGCTATCTTAGTCTTACTTGGTTTTTTGGCTGTAGTTTTAGTTAGGTTGCTGCTAGTCCTAGTAGTTTGGTTTAGTAGTTTGCATGTTTTTTATGGTTGGGGGCTGCTAGGCATGGTGCAGTGGTAGCCCTCTTTTGCGGTGTTGGTCTCATGTTTAGAGCTAGCCCAGAATTGTCCTGGAATATCTCGGGCATTAAGCCTTGCCTTAGCCGGAATCTTCCCAGGCGATTCTATTTTCTTTCAATTTCTTTATGGCACCAATTACGTGCTCCTCTATTCTTCCCCTTTAGGTTGATTGTATGACTTTTTGGCCTAGGCTATGCTTGGTAAACTAGCTGATAAACTAGCTTATAGCTTATCAGTAATTTTCGAGCTTATAGCTTGTAGCTTATGACTTATAGTTGAAAAACTAGCTTATATGATAAAAGTGTTTGGTAAAATTAGCTGATAAGCTAGTTGAAATAAAAAATTCAACTAGCTTATTTGAAAAGCTACCTAAACAAGCTTATCAAATAAGCTCGAGCTTTTTAAATAAGCTTGTCCTACCAAACAAGAGCTTATTTAATTACATAGAGCTTATAAGCTATAAGCTAGCTTATTGGTCTACCAAACATGGCCTGAATATGAGTATAATCTCCTTCAAATAGAATCAGGGGCGGAGCCACCCATGGGCTAGGGTGGGCTCCAGCCCCATATATAAAAAAAAAAAAAATAGTTTATAACTTACATTATTTTTGTCACAGCCCTATATAATTTTATACATAGCCCACCATATTCATTTGAACTAGCCCAACAAAAAAGCCCAACAAATGAGGAAAATAAAACTCATATTTTGGCCCGAACACATGTAGTATTGTCCAACATAAAAGTGTTTGATTTTTTTCTTTGGTTTATAATGTAAATTAGAAATCTAGACCTCTGCTTATTAATCTCCTTTTCGAGCATGACTAGATCTCCCGGCTTTTCTCCTCTTGGCTGCGAATCCCTCCGCCACGGCCCCGGCTTCGCGCCTCTTCGCCGCCAATCCCACCGCCACGGTCACGTGTTCACTCCTCCAAACTCCGTCATCCTCGCCGGACGCCGCCTATCTGCCACGGGCCACGGCCGCAACCCTAGCAGGTAAGAAATCGAAAGCGGCTGCATAATGGGTTGGTTTTAGTTTGTTGTTTTGGTGAGAAAGAGAATGTGGTATAGGAATTCCTTGAAAAGATTGCACTCATTTTACTTCACCTCATGAATTATCCCAAAAAAAAAAAAAAA